ACTGGTAAGTTTGAAATCTTGGCAACAATTCCAAAATCCAAAACACAAATTCAAAATCTGAAACATTTCTGATCCCAAGCATTTCAGATAAGGGATGCTCAACCTGTACTTTCGTTGAAAATAAATTGGTCATAGATCTGTGGGTTTGCTTCTGGACTCTTCTGTTTGAGTGGTCTACTTGTCTGTCCTGACACCAGTTTCTTGCGTCCAAGACTGTAGAAAATGGTAAGTCTTAAAGTCGGACAGTTCACAACCTCAGGCTTTCCCATTAAACACGATGTTGTTTGTAGATTTTTAGTAAATGTTCTTCGTTAAGAAGATCAAGTTATGCCTCTATTCCAAATTTACTGAATTTTTATCATGAATGAATGTAAAATTTTGTCAAACTTTTTTTGGCTCTTACTGACATTTTAATAAGGTTTTGAGTGTACTGAATTACATTGATTTTTTTTTTTAAGATGTTATCAGTTTTGCATTTCTGGGATAAATTCTACTTGGTCATGATGTATTATCATATTCATATATACATATGCATATATATATATGTAGATAAATATTCAATTTGCTTTTTTTTTTTTTAAAGTTAAGTTTTTTCCTCTATACTCATAAAGGATATTGACTTTTTTCCTTGAATGCCACTGTCTGATTTTGATATCATGGTACTACTAGCCCTATAATGACATGGGGAGTATTCCTTTGGCTATTCTGTTTTCTGAAAAAAATGTGTGTAGAATCAGGATTATTTCTCACTTAAAAGTTTGCCAGAATTCTCCAACGAGGCTACCTAGCTAGAGTTTCCTTGTGGGGATCCCCCACTTTTAATGCAGGAAGGGCTTGCCTTTGCCGGCTGTCTACACAGTGTGCCCTGGGAATGAAGGGAAGTCAGGTTGTGAAAACTACAGCTGCCGGCATAACGCACCCAGCACTCAGACCTACCAGGAACTGGGCTTGTCTGGCCTTTTCCAGCGCAGAAAGCAACCAAACAGAGTGTGTTCACATAGAAGTGCAATTTTTTTTTTGAGTTAAAGACTCGCTCCAGCCAGGCTGAAGTGTAGTGGCACGCTCATGGCCACCCCAGCATCGACCTACTGGGCTTTGGTGATCCTTCTGCCTCAGCCTTCCAAGTAGCTGGAACTACAGGCACCAGCCACCACGCCCAGCAAATTATTTTTTTTTTTAATTTATTGTAGAGACGAGGTCTTGCCAAGTTGCCCAGGCTGCTCTCAAACCCCTGGGCTTGGCAATCCTCTCACTTCAACCTTCCAAAGTGCTGGGATTACAGGCTGAGCCACCGAGCCCAGCCAAAGTATAATATGTTTTAACTTATTTAAAATCTTGTCTGCAGCAGACACCAACTCACCAACAGAGGGGCACGCACGCCTGCATCTGTCAGTGCAGCTGGGACCCTTCCTCAACCTTGGGCTCCACTCTGGTCAGGCGGCAAGGGAGGTGAGAAGGTAGAGGCATGGCTGTGAGTCATTCCACGGTGTTATCCTGGAATGTTTTGGCAAAAATATTACAAGCTTCTGACAAATCAAACTATAGAAAAGTACATACAGGAAAAAAAGAATCTTGGCCCACATCTTGCATGTAAGAAAACCAGGCAGAAGCTTTGTGATCCATGTGCCCCTCCATTTTGTTTTGTATTCTTAAAAGACACACACATACACATACACACACGTGTGCATACATAGGTCTTTTCCCTTCTTTGGTTTCTTTTCCCACAAATTGGATCAATCCCGGAAACCTCCTTCTCTGCCTTCATGAATGAGCATCTCTCCGGTGTGTGCATACACCACTAGCCTTTTCTTACTAACAGCTGCACACTTTTCTGCAATAAGAATGGACCGAGCACATCTACCCATTGTTCTATCTGGTGACAGCCGGCTCCTTTCCAGTGTCGTCCCTGGGAAACTGTGTCCCGCGTCACAGGAGATCTCCCTGGGCCGAAGCAGAGAGTGGACCTGAGCCCCTGGGCAGTCTCTTCATCTGTTCTTAATTTGCTGACCATTTGCATTTCAGTTCTGAAGGGCAGGTCCATATCCTTTTCCATTCCCATCCTAGGTTTGTATTTTTCTTAGCAGTTTGAAGATTTTTTTTAATGTTACAGACATGTCATATGTATTACCAGAATTTTCTCCAAATCTGTGCTTTTTCATTTGGCTTTTTTTTCCATGAGAAAGGGTCTCTGTTGCTCAGGCAGGAGTGCAGCAGCACGACCACAGCTCATGGCAGCCCCGGACTTCTGGGGCTCAGGCTGGGTTACAGGCCAGAGGCATCATGGTTGACACTTTTGGCTTGATTTAGTCTCTTTGGACATATCATTTTTTAATGCATATAAAATTAAAATCCATTCTTTTTTTCATTATAGCTTTTTGTGTTTACTGACTTGTGTTTACCTTGCCTGGGGTTATATGAATATTCATCTAAATTTTCATCTTATTATTTTACTGTTTTATTTTTTACATTCAAGCCTTTATCTGGAATTTAATTTTGTATATAAGAAGTAATAGAGACTTGGACCCTAGAGTTTGCCATAACTTTTTATGTCTTGTGCCATTTTCCATGTTTTCCTAACACACCCTCCGACCCGCCCATAGTTCCTCTGGTTCAGACCTTTCTCACATCATGCCACTGTGCTGTAGGCCAAGGAGGGAGGAACCACGTCCTTCTCTATTGCATCCTTCAGGAAAGACCAACAAACACTGCAAAGCCCCTGGCCAGCTGCAGTGGCTCACACGTGTAATCCCAGCACTTTGGGAAGCCGAGGTGGAAGGATTGCTTGAGCCCAGGAGTCTGAGACCAGCTTGGGCAACATAATGAGACCTCATTTCCACAAAAAATCAAAAAATTAGGCCAGGTGTGATGGCTCACACCTGTAATCCCAGCACTTTGGGAGAATCATTTGGGCCCAGGAATTCGAGACCAGCCTGGGCAACACCTCATCTCTACAAAAGTAGCCAGGCATGGTGGTGAACACCTGTAGTCCCAGCTACTCAGAGCCTGAGGTGGAAGGACTGCCTGGGCAAAGGAGGTTGAAGCTACAGTGAGCTGTGACCGTGTCACCGCACTCTAGCCTGGGTGACAGAGTGAGACTGACTCAAAAAAATAACAAAAACTGCCTAGTACCTGGCATATTTTAGGTACCTGGAAACATTTGTGGGAGGGAGAAAACTCCCTGGCAGGTTTCATGTTGACTGCACTATCTGTGCAAACCAGGGGATATATCATTATAAAACCACTTGCTGCCTCGGGAGCCACTCTGTCCCTTCCTCCTCCTGTGTCTTTGTTCGCTGAGGCCCGCCTTCTATCTATAATCTGGCTCATTCTGGAGGGACTCCCTTCTTCAAGGGGTTTCCTAAAACCCAACGGCACGTAGAGACTTTGCTGTGCTAGTCAGCATTCCACCCGCGATGGACTGTAGTCCTTTCTCTTCCACCACTGTGCCAGGCACTCAGCCCATTAAACACACCGGCTGCAGCTGAAACAGGCTTGTGTGCCAAGACTCCTTATGGAGGCCGAGGTGTAGCCTCAAGAGTCCTGACAAACGCTCTGAGGTCCAAGGAACCAGCAAACTGGGGAACACTGGAAAAGGACCTGCATGGCTCTTGGGACTTAAGAGAATGGACGGAAACCTGATGTGTCCCTATATTCGGTTTGAAAATAACATCAAATGGTTCTCGCCTCTCTCTGCGTGCATTTTTAATGGAGAAATGGTTGGTTCTAGGGCAGGGCAGGGAATATAGAATGAGCCTGGAGCATCTTGTGATGCTAGAAAGAACGCAAAGCGGTGGGTGTTTGTCAGCGGGACACAGGCATCAACTGAAAAAGCTCTCAATGGCCAAGGCTGGAACAGCTGGAGCAACAAAGTCATGTAGGTGAATTTCAGCCCAAAGAATACAATGATCACCCATTAGCGCATATGATAAACAGGGGATTGAATAAATACATGGGGAGGAAAGCACTCTCCAAAACGGAAGGAGTCCACCTAAGGGGAACAGATGCCCCACCCTCACAGACGGAGGGCCCAACTTCAGAGCAGAATGCCCCGCCCCTTGGGGCAGAGCACATTTGATGACTTGCCTCCAAAGGGTACAACATGAAAGAGACAGCAGAGTACCTGTCCAGAGGAGAGACCAGCAAAGACTGCCCTGGCCCAGTGACTACAGCTCGCCTCACCAGTGCCAAGTCCTGCTGCTAGTCCATACCCTTGATACGATGTGATGAGAACGACATTTCACCTCTGAAGATTCACCTTCCTCCCCAAAACCACAACCACAGTCTCACCATGAGAAAAATGATGAATCGCAACTGAGATGCATGCTACAAAATTCCTGACTAGTCCTCCTCAGAACCATCAGTCATCAAAAACAAAGAATATCTAAGGAATGATCACAGCCTGCAGGAGCCTAAGGACATGGGACAATTCAATGTTAATATGGCATCCGGGATGGGATGCTGGAACGGAAAAGACACTCAGCAAAAAACAATGAAATCTGAGCGAAGCATGGAGTCCAGTTAATAATGTGTATTATTTCACTGGTTATGACAAACGTACCACAGTGAGATGTTAACCACACTAGGCCGTGCGCGGTGGGAGGCCAAGGGGAGGGGATTGTCTGAGGCCATGGGTTCAAGAACAGCCTGGGCAAAACCTCATCTCTACAATAAATAAAAAAACTAGCCAGGCATGGTAGCGCATGCTTGTAGTTCCTTCCGGCTACTTGGAAGGCTGAGTTGGAAGGATTGCCTGAGCCCAGCGTGTTGATGCTGGGGTGGCCATGAGTATGCCACGGCACTCCAGCCTGGGCAACAGAATGAGACTCCAACTCAAAAAAGAAAAAAAAAAAAAACCCAGCACCAGGCGTGGGTACACAGAAACTCAGTGCTGTCCTTGGGATTTTCAGTAAATCTAGAACTATTCTGAGGTTAAAAGTTTATTTAGATATCTGAAAGCAGTTTGGGCAACAGGTTGACCGCAGCTGTGCTCTTGATTACAGGGTGCTGGTGACAGCTTCGTGGGAGCGCTGGCCTTCTACCTGGCTTACTACCCAGATATGCCCTTGGAAGAAATGCTCAGGAGGGCCAACTGCATCGCGGCTGTCAGTGTCCAGGCTGCAGGGACACAGTCGTCGTATCCACACAAAAAAGACCTCCCACTCACTCTGTTCTGATGGCCGCTGACCCCAGGATAGACATGCCTGGAAATAAAACGTGCTTGGGGGTGGCCACTCCCAGCTACCTTACTAGAAAATGTGCTCTTCTTTTTTCTTTGCCAGTACTATGTTCTTTTGCTCAATCACCCTCAAGCTTTCATGCACGTATTTGATTCCTTTGCTTTTCATGCATCTTCACAAGCCAGTCAGAGTTAAAGACTCTACAGGCAAGACCTGTACACAATACCACTATTCAGGGAACAGCCAGCTGACTGCAAGGGCGTGGACAGTGTCTCTACATAAGTATGGGAGGGGCAGGTAAATTGGACCTCTCCAGCACCGTCTACAAGGGCAGCTGGCACGCAGCTTTAGCTGTGTTGTCAAAGCTTCTGGTTTTATAAGTGAAGTAGAAGTTTGGATATCAACTGAAATCTTTCAGTGTTTATGTACCAGCAACTGATTTTTTTAAAAATGTAAACACCACCTGTGGGCCACGTCAGCCCATGCATGGGCTGAATCGACAAGTCACTTGTTAAACCCAATGTCAACTTTTTAAAAAAAGCAATCAATCCATTCATGTCACAGACCATGTACACTGGCTCCCCTAGGATTAGGTGAAAGATGTTTCTTGCAACCCAAGAACACTGTGTACAGCTTCAGCCTAAGCTTGGAGCCGAGATCTCACCCATCACTGCTTTGGACTAGGGTGTTAACAAAAGATGCCATAACCTCACAAGCCCCTATGACTCAACCACCTCAGCAAACATCTAGTCTTTTCCATCTCCCCCAGGGACAGATCGGCCGTGGGGAGGGAACACCTGACTGCAGGGGGAGCACTGGCTTCTGAACACCTGTGACCAGGGTGGTTACTCTGCAGTCCTCCCACACAAATGCTTCATTCAGCAGTGGGAGATCTGGGCGTGGTGGCTCACGCCTGCAGTCCCAACACTGAGAGGCCAAGGTGGGAGGATCACTTGAGCCCAGGAGCTCGAGACCAGCCTGGACAACATAGCAAGAGATGTTGTCTCTACAAAATATACACATATACACACTTTTTTTTCTTAAAGGGAGAACAGGATGTGAACTGGCAAGCTTACATGAGTTGTCCCAGTTATCCTTCTTTTCCACGAGTAATGTGGCAAGTAAAGGAGAACACTGGACAATGTGAGAGCATGTGGGAAATCGCGTGGGAAACAGCAGCTGAGTGCAGAACTGGTCCTGGCAGGACACAGGTCCTCATCTGAACACCAGGGATCACCCACGAAGTCCCATGCCCCAAAGTCCTGGCAGCAGCTCTGTGGAGACACACTCTACTCCTATTTAAAGAAAAATCTAGGGGATGGGCCAGGCTCGGTGGCTCAGCCTGTCATCCCAGCACTTTGGGAGGCCAAGAGGAGGGGATTGCCTGAGCCCACGGGTTCGAGACCCACCTGGGCAATTTGGTGAGACCTCATCTCTACAATAAATCAAAAATTAGCCAGGCATGGTAGCATGCGCCTGTAGTTCAGGCTACTTGGAAGGCTGAAGCGGAAGGATCGCAGGAGCCCAGTAGGTCGAGGCTGTGGTGGCTGGGAGTATGCCACTATACTCCAGTCTGGACAACAGAGACTCCAACTCAAAAAAAAAAAAAATCTAGGGGATGAAGGAGCCCAAAGCTGTCCTGAGAACCCAGACGCCGTTCTGGTGACCTGGGCTTGAGAATACAGGCCAATGGCACTTTTCCTAACTCCGTACGCATACATCAACACGCTCTCATGGGCCCTCCTGTCGTGAGGCCACCTCTTCATCACAGGCACCCACCCAGCACCTGTCTACATGGGACTTTGTCCAAGGTCACTGTGGAGAGCTACTCTGCCTTTCCCATGAGGTGCAAGGGGGAGCACAAGTGTTGTCATGGAAAAATTTACTTTATTACGTGAAACAATGGTTACTTTTTAGTAACATGGTTAATTTTTTACATTTCAAACAGTGGGAAAAAACATCACTAAGAGACAATGGCATAGGCTATTTTGATATTTTTTATTAAGGGCTATAAAAGTATCCAGAAAGATAAATAAATGTGATGCCATGGCGTCTGTCCTCATAGGAAAGACTTTCTTTCACCCATTGTTTCCCTCCACAATGGCCTTCAAATCGATTCTGTGCCACTTCCTCTCCTTTATTCCACACTGCAGGACTTCTGAATCAGTGTTCCTGCCCTCAGTCTTCTCGCTTACAAATCAAATTCAGTTTCAATCCATTGTTTAAAGGGAGCGTATTTTTTTCTGTTCCACGAAGAGGACTTTTGTGCGCACTATGGGGGAAGAAAAAAATTGTAGCAGAAAATCATAAAGTATCATCACCATTTTTATTAAAAATACACATCAGACCATGAGCCCTCTCCTTCCTCTTTTTTTATTATTTCTCTGACACGAGGATGGAGCTGATTTGCAAACTCAGTTCCCGCAGAAAATGGCTCAGGCCACCAGTAAGTGGTGTCCTTAGTACCTACAAGGTAATATGTCAGCCAATGTGAAATACTCAAATTTAAAAAGAAAAGAGCCGGGGGTGGTGGCTCACTCCTGTAATCCCGTAACTTTGTGGGCAGAGATGGAGGATTGCTTGAGCCCAGGAGTTTGAGACCAGCTGGGTTAACACAGAGAAACCTTGTAATTACAAAAAATAAAAAAAATTAGCCAGGTATAGTGGTGTGCACCTGTAGTCCCAGCTACTCCAGAGGCTGAGGCAGGAGGATCACCTGAGCCCAGGAAGGTTGAGGCTGCAGTGAGCTGTGATTGCGCCACTGCACTCCAGCCTGAGCAACAGAGCAAGACTCTGACTCAAAAAGAAAAAACAACTTAACAGAAAGAAAGTTAAGGACAAAAATGGAAGACACTCCATGTCTCCACCCAGTTCATGTCTGCCGTTGCAGGAGGAGAGCAAGGACGACAAGACCGGAAAGAGCAGCAGGAGCCTGACAGGCCGTGCCAGAGGCAGCAGCCTGGCTAAGTCCCTGCCTACGGAGCCTCTGCTCCTCAGGGATGGCTCCACACACTCAAAGCTGGACTCTTTCGTTTGACGACAGAATTAAGATTCTCACAAAACCTCATTACTGCACATACTACAGAGTAAAGTTCTCTATGGAAAGTGCCATCTGGGCCAGGCTCGGTGGCTCAGCCTGTCATCCCAGCACTTTGAGAGGCAGAGGCGAGTGGATGGCCTGAGCCTGCAGGTTCAAGACCAGCCTGGGGAACTTGGCGAGACCTCATCTCTACAATATATCAACAACAAAAAATTAGCTGGGTGTGGTAGCATGCGCCTGTAGTTCCAGCTACTTGGAAGGCTGAGGCAGAAGGATCCCAGGGCCCAGCAGGTTGACGCTGGGGTGGCCGTGAGCGTGCCACTGCTGGGTGGCAGAGTGAGACTCCAACTGAAAAAAAAAGAAAGAAAGAAGAAAAGTGCCACCTGCTTGGATGAAAGCCAAGATGCTGGTGGAAAGGTTCTCATGGTCGTCAGAGCACCTACATCAAGTACCCCGTGACTTCCAACACCTCTCGCCCCTCCCCCCACCTCAACTCCTCTTTGCTACACAAAACACCGACAATGCACCTAAGGAAGACCCAGGACTCAAATGACTGTGGCCTAACAACCCCTCACTTGCCCCTTCCACGCAGACTTCTGTTTTCTTCTTCTACAATCAACATGGATGCTCTGTGTGAGCGTCCCAAGCCATGATTTATGAGCTAACTCTCACCTCCACCTTTACCTAATCCTGGTTTGGCACAGCTGAAGCTGGACTACAGACTATGTTTCTTTTTCTTTTCTTTCTTTTGAGTCAAAGTCTCGCTCTGTCACCCAGGCTGCAGTGCAGTAGCATGCTCACAGATACCATAGCCTCGACCTGCTGGGCTCAGGCAATCCTTCCTCCTCAGCCTTTCCAGTAGCTGGAATTACAGGCATGTGCCACCATGCTCAGCTAATTTTTTATTTATTATAGAGGCAGGGGTCTCACCATGTTGCCCAGGCTTGTCTCAAAACCCTGGACTCAGGCAGTCCTCTCACCTCTGCCTCCCAAAGTGCTGGGATTACAGGCGTGAGCCACATCCTGACTTTTAAGAAGTTTTAGGACGAGGACACTGGCTCCACATAAAAAGAACAGGGACCAGGAGTGAGAAGGCCAGGCTCCATTCCGGCTCGGCCGTTCATCAGCTGTCGGGCCCTGGGCAACTAACTGTCTCAGGCTCTCCCCTCGACCTCCTTCCCTGTGAGAGAACTCCAGCTCCCCACAGGCTGTGGCCAACCGGCAGCAAGCACTCAACATGAGTGGCTGAGCTGAAATGACACACTGCTACCCACAATCACAAACTAATTGTCAAAATATTTGCTGCTTAATTCGTAGAAGAACAAATCTGTCAAGTTCTTTCCCTACATCTAACCAAAATCTTTTCTGCTTCAATTAAAGTCTATATGTCTCGTTTAGTCATCCATGGAATTAAAACCGACAAGTTCTCATTCTCTTTATGAGAACCCTTGAGATATTTAGCAAAGTTTAATAAGCTTATGCCTCAGCCTTCAATCCTTCCTCCTTGGAAATCAGCACCTAATTTTATGTGAGGAGAAGCAGCTCGAAAGGGCAGAGGCTTAGGCAGCTGATTCCCGCCACAGACTGTCCTAGGAGATGCTCAGATAATCGGGAATTCCTTCCTGTCTCTTAGTGATGTCCTTCGTAAAGCAGACCAACAAAACACTCCTCAAACTAACAAAGTGCTCATCACAGTATCATGCCGGAGAACCGCCAAGCTACTGGGTACGGGAGATGCGGGACAGGCTCCAAGGCAAACGTCTTCACCACGAAGGCCACAGGGCATTTAGCAGGTGGGCAGAGTCAGGCAGCTGCTGCCCCAGAACACGCCTCTCCGGGAGAGACAAAGCTGTGCTGCCAGAGCTCAGATCATTCTTTATCAGAACCGACTGCTTGGGATCTGCATATTAATCTTTTCTCCCATTTGAACTCATTATCAGAATTGTTCCTGGCTGTGTCCTTTTCCAATCTCAAAACCTGAAGTCAGGTTGAAAAGCATTAAGTCCCTAATACCTCCATCCTGAGGATGAAAATTCC